GAGAGAGAGAGAGAGAGAGAGAGAGAGAGTTCTTCGTCCTCTTCTAAGTCCACTATCTCTCCTTCACCCTCTCGCTACCTAACTTCTCAGTATCTACAAACTACGGGAGAGAGAGAGATTGGTGACTTTGGGACTTGAAGACATTTGGATCCAGACTCCACATTGGGATTGAGACATTGGACGAGGGATTATTTGGGACCAGTACCGAAAACTTGGTGTTGACAACATTCCCATCTTTAACTCTTCTTCGTCTGTGTATGGTTGGGGACTGGCGCATTCTTCCTTTGTGAGCGCCAGGCCCCTTCACAAGATGGAATGATGATGATATATGTTTGGTCTGCATTTCAACATTGATTGTTCGGATCATTGCTATATTGGCCTTCCGCTACGCTATCTTGTACTATGTGAGAGAGGTCGGTTCTTGTTCTAGTCTGCACCTTCGCTGTATGCGACAGTTTGGTATCGGAACGGACCTCTCAATCAGAGGATCCGCCCAATCAAGTAGCCAGCTTGCTTGATCTACTGATTGTTGATTGATTGATTGATTGATTGATTCATCGATTGTTTATCAGTAAATCAAGTAAGCCTTCGTTAAATCTCTGCAAAAAAAACAATTCTCTTTTTCGCAACTACAGATACTAGCATTTCGTTTTCTGTTTTACTCTAGGCATTTAGGTGAACTAGGGAGGTCGTCATATTCTCGGACTGGATCTATTCTTCTCGAAAAGTGGAACCTCCAGTCTATTTCGCGCAACATTGTTTTTTTCAAGATCGCATTTTTTTTGAAGGCCGAAACTTTGCGACACCTTGCCTAGATCTCGCTCATAGTACACCTCTGAAATGCCTCACTCATAGCAGATCGACAGATGTACAAAAAAAAAGAAAAGAGGGGGTGAGATTCTTCTTTTATTTTTTATTTTTATTTTATTCCGTTGATTAGGATTAGGAGGAAAGTACAGTTGGTTGCTTACCTTCCTGCATTTTCCCTCCCACCCAACCCTTTGCCTGCATTCCCGGTTACACAGTGCCACATCAGCAGTGCCACGTCAGCAGTGCCACAACGGTAGCAGTACCACGTCAACAACAATGCCACGTCAACACTGCCACGACAGCAGCAGTACCAAGGTCCGCAATGCCCCGCCACTATGACGGGTTCATCATTGGAAATGACAGGCCAGCTGGTCGGCGAGTCCATTGACGAGTACCATCAACTGTTTCTAGCTAGCTCGCATTGGTCGAGGCTGAGGTACAGCGCCAGGCGGCAGCCGAGGCAGCCCGCCTAACGGCACGAAGCTGCCAGTGTCGAAAAGCTCAAGTTTTGGCATTTAGAACCATCCAAGAGATCATCAAGACCAGCCGGGCTGCTGCAGACGAGAAGACAGCGTGGCAGCCAGCCCATGTGGAGAAAGGAAGATTTGGTCCGCGTCCGCAGCCCGTCACTGCAGTCCAACCGGACAACATCATGGAAGACCCGGCAGCCACCTCAACATCAGACATGGACAACAGCCCTACTCAGCCCATGTGGGTTTGGTCAACAGAACTCTATAACCTCATACACGGAGTTCCTATCACTTGGACAAAAGAGACTCAATGCAGAAAGAAGAGACAGACGGACTTAGCAAGTACCATAGGGTGAGGGGATAGGCTGAAGGCTTGGCAGAAAAAAAACAGCTCCAGCTTGGTCAAATTTGTGGTCAACAGTTCCGGTCAACGCTGGTCAAAGCCTCGGTCAATGTCGGCCAACACCTCGGTCAACGCTCCGGTCAGCTTCAATAAGCTCGGCTGTGGCTGCCAACCCCCTTCTCCTTCACCAACCTTCACCTTCCTCCTCCTCTTCACCTTCACCCTTGGCTATGAGTTCTCTCTCCTCCTCCGTCTCTTCGCCTTCACCACCGGCTATGGCTTCTTTTTCCTTCTTCGTCCCTATCTCCTCCTTCACTTTCTTTCTTCTTCACTTTCTTTCTTCTTCACTTGCTCTTCTTGCTCACTTCTAGTCTCCTCCTCCGTCTTCTTCCCCTCCGTGTCCGAGCTCGGCGGCTATGGCCGCCACCTTCCTCCTTGAGCCACAACAACCAATCCTCTCTCTCTCTCTCTCTCTCTCTCTCTCTCTCTCTCTCTCTCTCTCTCTCTCTCTCTCTCTCTCTCTCTCTCTCGTCGTTGTCTGTGCAGGTGCGCGGCGTCTTCCTGCAGTGGTGCAGCTATGGTGGCTTGTTCTTCCTGTTGACGACGACGATGGCAGGTAGAACAGCGGGAACCAGCTCCAATACCAATGCAATCAGACTCGTCTTCTTTCTTACTCAGCATGCATAAAACAGATGGCAATCACACTGGCAACAAGTGCCCACACAAAGCTCAGAGATATCGTGGCCAAGAACACAGTTCAGATTCAACTTGCTTCAAATGGCTATGGCGCCTGTGCGCCCTCACAACACCTTTCCACGCTGTATCCTCAGCAACTGTTCACAAGCACGCTACTCTAGATCTCCCTGGATGTCCCACACACACACACAACTCACTGCACTCTCATACACAAACATGCTGTAGCCTCTCTCTAACCTGTAGCAGCTAAGGCTGCGTACAATCTCTACCACTAACTACCGGCTATGACCACTTTGTCTCCCTCGCAGCCCTCTTTTCCCTCGGGCACTTGCAGACCTCCTTGCACAAGTCGCTCAGGCAGCGCTTCTGCACGGCTCACAGTCTGAATGAATGAATAACTGGATGCCGCCTCTTGATTTATACTTCGGTTGGTCGCTGGTCTGCTCCTTTCCACCGGGCCCAGGGTGCACACAGTCCCACATGGTACTTGCTGAGTGGACAAGGTGCGACTGGGACTGGGTACCACTGACTGGAGGTGGTAAGTCTGCCCACTTGCCCACTTGCCTACGGACTGCTTCCAAGACTCTCGAAGGGGCAGTCCTAGAAGACTCTAGACCTTTCTGCTTGCCCTTTCGGTACTGTAGCAGCTACGACTAAGGTTGACCCTTCAGACCTACAGCAGCTACGACCAGACATAAGCTACGACTCCTACCCTACAGGCTAGCAGCTCGAACGTACTCAACCCTCGTATGTACAACAGACAAATTTAGGGGCAGGTCACGGGTTCAAACCTAGATGGGGCAATGTGGCATACTGCGCATCCACATGGGCCTGCAAGGCTTGACCAAACAAGGAAACGTAAGGGCCCTACAGGCCCCGTGTCGTTTTCAGCCTGAAAGCCTGGAAACAAGGGCCTACAGGCCCTGTGTCGTTTTCAGCCTGAAAGCCTGAAAACAAGGGCCTACAGGCCCTGTGTCGTTTCAGCCTGAAAGCCTGAAAACGAGGGCCTACAGGCCCTGTGTCGTTTCAGCCTAAAAGCCTGAAAACGAAGGCCATTTTCAGGCCCTCATAAAATCGACCTGCCCTGAAACTTAGGCACCAGACCAGGGTTTTAGCACAGGCCATTTTGGGCCTGTTTTCAAGACAACCTTTGTTTGAACTTCAACGCCAGGGTCTGGCACGTTTTGGCATTGGCAAGAGCAGCCTCCTGGACGGCCCAGAACTACATAAAACTGGCCCGCCCTGCAGGCTGCAGCTGGTCACCAGGTAGTTCATAGGGACTTCCCAGGCACTTCACGTGCAGGAGGCAGGAGGCAGTCTTCAGGATTCGGCAGCAGCACTCTGGAGGAGTGCTGCAGTAGTAGTAGTAGCATTAGTAGCAGTCTTCAGCGCTGGGCGCTATTAGGAGCTAGAGTAGCATTGGAGAGAGAGAGATGGTTGGCGGGGGCCAGGGAGACTTACCTGTGGCACCATAGCTCCAGCTTTGTCTTGGATGTACCTGCAACAAGGCGCCACCTTCACAGGTTAGTACCAGACAGAGAGAGAGAGAGAGAGTTCTTCTTCTTCCTCTTCTAAGTCCACCATCTTTCCCTCACCCTCTGGCCACCTAACTTCTCAGTATCTGCAGCCTACGAGAGAGAGAGAGATTGGTGACTTTGGGACTTGGCGACATTTGGATCCAGTCTCTACACTGGGATTGAGACGTTGGATGAGGGATTATTTGGGACCTGTTCCGAAGACTTGGTTGACGACATTTCCATCTTCCCCTCTTCTTCGTCTAACCCCCCCCCCCGTCTTCTTCATCTGTGTATAGTTGGGGACTGGCGGATTCTTCCTGTGTGAGTGCCAGGCCCCTTCACACCATGGAATGATGATGATGCATGTTTGGTCTGCATTGCAACATTGATGGTTCGGATCACTGGTATATTAGCCTTCCGCTGTGCTATCTTGTACTAGGTGAGAGAGGTCGGTTCTTGTTCTCGTCTGCACCTTTACTGTATGTGACAGGCAAACTGTACTGTACACGGGCTCGGGGCAGATCTAGGGATCGAGCCCTGGGATCTGCATCTGCTACCACGAAGGCGAAAACCGTTTAACAGAGCACCAACAGAGAACAAGCCTCCAAACAGACATCCCATTGAAAAAGAACTCTGAAGAATCAAAGGATGATAAAAGACCATTTTGAGGGGAAAAAAAGTCCTGCTCAACATCTAGAATCTTCACTGGCAGTCACAGTCACACTCACAGAACACAAATCTCCAAACAACCACCACATTGAAAAGAACTACTGAAAGGCTCAAAGGGTGACCAAAGACCGTTGTGATAAAGTCCTGCACAACATCTAGAATCTTCTCGCGCTGTTTGCCTTGTCTACAAGATGAGCTGATGCATCAGAGGAGAAGACCTTTCATATTTTGAATTCGACCCTGCCCTTGCACAGCTGGAGCTTAGAGCAACAATGTAGGACCATAGAAACCATACTTACCAATGCCAAGGTGGGTGTTGATGCTCGCATACCGTGCAGTTCCTGTCAGATTCTTGTTCTCTCTGAGGCACAAAACAAGAAACGTTGATGGAAACAGCACCACCCAGTGGTCAGCAAAACAAGATTAAGTCCTCTGTGTCAAATCAAATGTAATGGAACTCCCCTCAAACGACATGCAATTTCAACACATGCGCAACAAAACATTCACGTGAGAGTTCACACTGGACACCGTGGGATGAAAACCAGAACTACGCTCCAAGAATCCACACTGATTTATTAAAAATGTACAAAGAAAGTGTCCGAGTCGCCAAGCGGCATCTGCTGCCACACGAAGAGTCTTTCTGCTGTGCTCTTTGTTTTTCTCTCTTTTTCCTCCAACACCAATCATGTATGAAACCGCTCCCCCCCCCCCCCCCCCCCCCCTCTCTCTCTCTCTCTCTCTCTCTCTCTCTCTCTCTCTCTCTCTCTCTCTCTCTCTCTCTCTCTCTCTCTCTCTCTCTCTCTCTCTCTCTCTCTGCCTGCTCAACCTTACTGTTCATCTTCTCTATATAAGCCTAGAATCTACCCTGAGTACACCCACATCTCACCCTCTCCGACCTTCGCGGCTATGGCCTCCACCGCCTCCAGGTCAACCCCTAGATATGGCAACTCTAAAGCGCATGTCTTCCTCCTCTGTCATACGTCGCCCAAGCCGCCTATCACACAAGCATCCAGCAGTGCTTCCACGACTCATGTAGTGAACAACTGAAGTCCACCGGCACTGCAGCTAAACATTGTTTGGTGGACTTGCCCGCAGCCTCTTTCCAACCGGTACCGGTCATGTCGGCCTGTCTGCTGCATGTTTCGGATGTGTCCAAACTGTTTCCGGTCGGCCTTAGGATGCTGCTGCGAAACTGGACCGTGGGCCTTGACGTTTCCTGTCGGGCCTTGCAGACTGGTGCAGACTTGCGATGCTTCGGTATCCGACTTCCACCGACTTACGACGCTTCAACCTATGGACCCTACGAACCAAGGACCTGAACTATCGGGCCCTCCTGGGACCGGGACCATTCAGGACTCTAGGACCGGGATTGGGACTCATGTGCAGTGTGGCATCCTTTCACTCCCGCCGGCCTAATTTCGAGGTCCTCCACAAACGATTCCATCTTTACCTGTCTATAACATTGATACCCCCTCTAGCACGTTTATAGTATGAGACTATGTGAGGTGTCGTCTCTGTCAGTTCATCCTTAGTCTACCAACGGTCGTCTTCAAGCTCTTGATAGGCAAATCTAACTTTGTATTTTCGCTGCAGCCCTACCTCTACGACCTATCTTGTAGACATCTTCATCGAAGATTCGGTTAAAGATCATATTCGCCATGCATGTCATGTACTTTCATGGAACGATCATTTACCATGCAAGGCGATAACTTCGATGCATGGAAAACTGGGCACGTGTGTAGGTGAAGTGGTATGTTGACAGTATAGGAAGGACCATCTATCTCTCTAGCTTCCCAAGCTCCTATATTCGCAAGCAACAATTTATGAGAAATGCCTTTCTCCGAAAGGAACTCCTTTGACTTGATCTGGACAAGGTCGCCAACAACAAACTTTAATGATTGGACCTTTCGGATGTTCTCAACCACTCTCTATAGCTCCTCGTAGTGGATTGCAGGGTGGCAGTCTCTTAATCTGATCAAGCTTCAGGCAGTCTATTGGTCGTCTTGGACGCCACCCCTTGTGCAGCTCATTAGGTTTCCAGTTAGTTGCTAGATGCAGGGAGTTGTTGTAGGCACTAGCAACCTTAGTTAGACGTTCGTCCCAATGTATCTCATCTGGTCTTATGTACATGTGAAGCACATGTGTTCGGTCTGGCCGTAAGTCTTCGGATGTCTGTCTGACGATATAGTGAGCTTGGACCCGTCGACTTTCATCAGCTTTTGCCAGTGCTTGTTCGTGAACCGTGGCTCTACCACTAACTATGGTCAATCGGTGCTCATAATCTGAAACCCTATGATTGAGAAACTCGCAGATGACAAAATTGATCCTTGCCTCAACAGGCAGCGGAATGAAAACAGCAAACTTGCTAAATCTATCAATGATAACCGTTACCTCTACCGCTTCGACTTCTGCCTTAGTGCCCATAAAAGTCTACAGACACACAAAGTCACATGGAAGGCTGCGTGAAACTCTTTATCTGTTGACACGCTTTGTAGCCATGAATGTACAAGATACAGTCTTGCTTTATCCCGAGCTACGTGTGGGACCTAAGGAGATTCACATATGGCTTCCTCCATCCGAAATGGCCCTTCAAATCATGATATTTCCCTGGCTTATCATTCTTGTCATATTTCTCGAAAAGTAAACCACCAATCATCCTATAATTGGGCTCCCTCGTAGGGTAAGTCTACACCTTGCGGATGATCTCGTTATAGACTTCATCCTTGACAGACGCCTCCTTAACTTTCTGTTGTAGTTCAGCATCTGCTTCCAAGTAAGTGACTATGGCACCAAAGAAGTTTGCACGTCTACTAAGCGCATATGCAACAACATTTACTTACGTTTGACCGGTTTGAGCTCGAAATCGAATTCGTCGACCTAAGCAGCCCACCTAGCTAATTTATTCAACATTCATGACTGAGTCTTTAACCAACGCAATGTCTCATAATCCAAGTAGACTTTAAAGTGTCGTCCTAACAGATAGTGTCTCCAATGCGCCAGTGCCTCCTTCAACGCGAATAGTTCCCTCTTATAGGTTGACACACCTAAACTTTAAAGTGTCGTCCTAACAGATAGTGTCTCCAATGCGCCGATGCCTCCTTCAACGCAAATAGTTCCCTCTTATAGGTTGACACACCAACCTTCTTATATGATAACCTATATGACCACAACTCGACGAGCCTCTAACCATGTTCGTCGGTCTGTTGTAGGGTTGTACTTACAAGCTCCTCATCGCTCTGCCTGGTTCGGTCGCATGCCGGTCAGTACTAGTCATTAAGCTAGATACATTGTTTAACAAGTGGCTGCCACTCATGCCTTGTGCTCCTTACTTTAAAGGTAGTGCCTCCAGCTGCTGAGTTTCTACCCTAGACCGACCTAAACCTAGCATGAAAAGGTTAGGATCCCACTGGGTACACATGGCCCCAGGTGGGACAGCAACCAGTAACCACTTCCCCACAAGGAGAGGTGCCTTTCCCCTGGGGAGGAGTCTTCCCCCTAGGCGAGATCGATCCTCTGACTCGCCAATCAACACGTAGATCAATTGCTGATTCAAAAATTGACGAAGTCCAACAAAGTGACATCGACAGAAATTGACTACTACAGCAGCAGCTTCACCAAGAATTGACATGTGAAACATCCATCCATTCACATGCACCCAAGACAAGAGAGGGTCGCGGGCACGAAGCACTTCAGTAGGTCTTGATTCACGGTCTTCGACTCTATGCAGGTACAAAATGATCTCCTCGTTTAACCCGATCTGCCCCTCCTTTTTCTTTTTCGGCCTCCAGTCAAACCCCAATCTCACTTCCACCCTCCTGCCTATTTCCAGTGTCGGCTCTCAACTCCTCCTCGCTCATGCAGCAGGTACCAGCTTTGATAGCAGTCAAATGAAACTCCGCTCAAACAACATGCGATTACAGCACATGTGCAACAAAACATTCATGTGAGAGTTCACACGGGACATCGAGGGATGAAAATCAGAACTGCACTCCAACGTACACCGATTTATTAAAAATTTACAGAGAAGTGTTTATGTCACCAAGCAAAATATGCCGCCACACAACTCCAAAACCAATTAGGTACGTAACTGCCCACTCCTCTCTCTCTCTTTCCATATATATATATATATATATATATATATATATATATATATATATATATATTATGGATATGGATATATATAACTGACC